CCCTAGTATGAGAATTGTGACATTTGCTCTACAGACATCTCCTCTTCTCTAATTTATTTACCACCCCTCCAAGAAGTACAAAACTTAACATAAATTACTCATTATAATGCTGTCATTGTTTAGGCAAAGCATAATATTTATAGCCTTCAATCTTATTTGATTACAGAGCTATAAACTAAAAATCAGTTCCTTCTTGCCAAGCCCATCTGTCACATCCTTTCTTTCACAAATTCGCAATAGTTCTCTCTTATGTTTTATACTATATTATTCATAACCAACAGAAAACCAAGGTTTTCATCAATCAAATGAAATATTATATTACATTGTTTTCTGCACAGAGAATTGTCTATTTCGCTTCTAGTTCAAACTTTACTCCTATGGAAAACACATCAATGAGTTTAGCTGAATATTTAATGACACTTGTCACATAGTTAGAAAGCCAAAAGAATTGTGACAGTTATAAGACATTGTCTGCTTTTGCATGATTTTATTCTGTGTTCTTTGGTGTATTATTTAGTGAAGTAGAACAATCAGTATACAAAAAGTAAGGTTAAGTGTCATCAATAGTCAAGAGCAAAGAATAAAAAAAGATTCATGTAAGTACTATATTTCTTGTTTTTCATACGTATTCATTATTAATTATTATAAAAGTAACTAAATTGTTAAAGACACATTTTAGGTTATATTAGGCAAAATAAATAATGATAAAAATTTTCAAGAGCAGCTCATGTATTATGTAATTTAATAGAGTATCATGAGATCTATGTTCAACAAGTGATTTACAAATTTGACAGTGGGAATATCAGTTAGACACAGTTTAAAGAGCTATAAAACAATAAAATTTAAGTAGAAACAGACATATACTGTTATTAGTTTAACGGTACTTAAGATAAACAAATGTAGTTTCATGTTCCAATTTAAGTCATTCTAAAAAGAAAAAAGGGTAATTTAGGTTTATATAAATTTTTTTTTTGGTGGTTATGAGGTCAGTGAAATTGATCAACCTCATATAGAGTTAGAGTAGAGAAAATAACAGATAGAACATATAGTTTTACTGAGAACATTTGAAATTTATGTAGGAGGTTTTAGAGATTATGGAAATGGAATTTGAGATTTTTCAGATGAAGTATTTTTAATCTTAACATGAAAATAACTTTTTACTCAGAGCAGTAAATACCTTAATTCCATACATTCATGGAAAAATTTTAGTGAAAATATTTCATTAAAAATTCTGATTTTTTTTTTATCTACAAATGACTCTCAATGAGTACTGAAAGCTTGCAAAATTTCATGAAGATACACAAAACATATTAGAAGTTATAGTATAGAAGTTCTAACGATCAACTTGTAGTCAATATTTAGGTCAAATTGACTGAGCCCATAGCAAGAGAATGAAATATATAATAACTGTTATCAAAATTGTACATCAAAATTACTAGAAGAAAAACATATACAATAACTCACATTTCTGTTAATGTCTGACAAGAGAAGATGTGATGAAGAACGGTCTAGCTCTGCTCGCAAACTTGGCTGAACATTATCAGTTTTCTTTAGAGTAAATCTGAAAAATGTTTCACCACACTGTAAAAATAAAATACAGTCTCCATACGCACACTTTCATGTTTATAATTCTTTTTACTAGAGCTGTTTCAAATACAAAAAAAAAAATGTCAACTACTTTTTCCATATGAATGACCTCTACATTTATTGAAAATAACACAATAAAGAAACTTAAAATTATCTTATATTGCTAATGTTTATGGCTAGTCCAATTTCTCACAAAACATGCAATATTTTATAACAAATATGGATTATGGATGATCTAAAAAAATAACTATCAAAAATCCAAAGATATATATATTTGGCATTCATTAACTTTTTTGTGTGTAAAACAGATAAATACAGTTTTCAAAAGTGTGTGTTTGGAAAAGAATATCTGACAATATGCTGATGAAAATCATATTTAGTTAGTTAAATTTACATCAAAATTTAGACTCCATGTGTCTTCAAACCTCTCTATAAAGCACAGTGCTCTCTTAAAAGTTGAATTTGAAGTGATTAAAAAAAACAGAAAATTGTCAAAAGCAAGTCATTTTTTTCTTGCATTTCAATATCTATAACTTGTATACTGTTTTGTTTACAAAATCTTCCTCAGAAACACATGCTCAAAAGCCTTTGTTGTTCCATACCTCACCAAATACATACCTGAAAATGATCAAATAACATCAACAATTGATTTACTTTTATAAATAGAATATGAATTTATTGTCTTCTTACAGTTGATGGTGAAAATCAGGCCTGACTACAGCCTTTATTTAATGCTTACAAAACAATGAAAAAGATATTTGAACACTTTTCTACAGATGCTGAAAAATTTTAAATATTCAAAGTTCAAAATTTACCTCATGACTCTAGATTAAATAAATTTTCTTTCTGTACAGAGCAGCCAATTAAAAACATTGTCTTATGACAGGTATAATTAAATTCCATTCAGTGGTATTTCACAACAGCAACAGAGCATCACACGTGGAACACATACAAACAATCACACTGTCCACATAACATGCATGTAACAGAACTTTTCAATAGGGTTTGCATACAGTATAAGCTATGTTACTTCATAATCAATGGATCAAACCAAAACAGAAAAACCGCAAAAATGTTGTTCACATACCAATCACCAACTAATAAATTAGGTTATAAAAAATGTCATTGCCTATTCTTTTATTTAGCCAAAATTCATATTATTTTAAGTTGTATTTTTTAAATATATACACCTAAAATAACTGTACTACTTAACATATTGGTTCAAAAGAAAGAAATAGCATTCAAGCCCATTAAAATGGCCGAGAAAGCCACTAGAGGAACATTCTGAGCTTCCGATTGGTTATTCATGTTATACATAGAAGTAAGTGTATGTAAGGGATCATTTCCAAAATTTGAAAGAGGTGGGTGGGGTGCCATTGTGTTTGATTTATTACATGAGCAATATCTTAGCAAATAGAAAAGATAAGACATTCTTATTTTATATTCTAGCTTGTCAATATCAGTAATTTGAGGTTCTAATTCGTATGAAACTAGTCTTAGTATTTTGACTTCATAAACATCTAATTTGAACCAGTGCTGCATTCAACATACCACGTGACACAAACATTGATGTTTATCTGGTT